GAGGAGGAGGAGGAGGAGGAGGAGGAGGAGGAGGAGGAGGAGGAGGAGGGGAGGAGGAGGAGGACGACGAGGAGGAGGAGGAGAGGAGGAGGAGGAGGAGGAGGAGGGAGGAGGAGGGGGAGGGAGGAGAGGAGGAGGAGGAAGAGGAGGAGGAGGAAGGAAAGGGAAGGAAGGGTAAGAGGAGGAGGAGGAGGAGGATAAAGGGGAGGGGTAGGAGGAATAACAATACTACTAATAGTAATGATAAGAGTACTGATAAGAAGAAAGGAACCGAATACTAATAATGATAAGAGGAAGCAGAAGAGGAGGAGGAGGAGGAGGAGGAGGAGGAGGAGGGAGGAGGGGAAGAGGAGGAGGAGGAGAAAGAGGAGGAGGAGGAGGATAAAGATGAGGGGGAGGAGGAATAATATGAAGAAGAAGAAGAAGAGGAGGAGAGGGAGGAGGAGGAAGGGGAGGAGGAGGAGGAGGAGGAGGAGGAGGAGGAGACAGGCGGATAGCGGGTGGGGAGGAGGAGCAGGAGGAGGAGGAGGAGAAGGAGGCGGAGGAGGAGGAGGAGGAGGAGGGGGAGCGGCAGAGCGGCAGGGGCAAGAGGAAGAGGTTGGCAAAGGACGAGAACCAGGAAGAGGGGGCCTCCCCCACCGCCTCCTCGGCCTCTGGAGAACGGGCTCTTGGAACTGCCCTCCACAGCACTGCTGCGCCCTGCGTTGTCGCGCGGGCGCGGGGGGGCGCGGCGCCCGTGTCGACTGAGCCGCCCTATGTTCCTCGAGTCCTCGAGCCCTATGTTCCCCCCTGTCCCCCATCCCACTCCCGCCATGTTCGTTTCGTTTCTCTTCCTATTTCTCTTCATCATCCTCGCCATGTTCAGTCGACGGTCCTCCTTCTCCTCCTCCTCATCCTCCTCATCCTTCGTGCTCCTCCTCCTCCTCCTCCTCCTCCTCCTCCTCCTCCTCCTCCTCCTCCTCCTCCTCCTCCTCCTCCTCCTCCTCTCCCATGTTCTCCCCCCATGTTCCTGGTCTTCTTCCTCGCCCTTCCCCTCGGAGACCTGCTGTCCCTTCTACTCATACTCCTCCCCCCCTCCTTCTCTGCCCCCTCGTCATCTCCCCCTCCTCCCCTCGTCATCATCCTCTTCGGCCCGGGGGCACCTGGGTGGGTCCCCACCCGCGTCTCACAGGAGGACCCCCAGGCTTTGTGGTTCAGTCCCTGTCCGACCACGCCTCGGCAGCAAACCTTCCAGGCCACTCGCGCCTCCAAAGCACGCAGCATCCCGTCGGAGCTTGCCGCGGGTTCTCTAGCGGAGTTGAGAAGGAGGTGGAGGAGGAGGAGGAGGAGGAGGAGGCTTCGTCATCATCCTCATCCATTTGCCCTCCTCTTCCTCCTCCCCCGTCTGGTGCTCCCCCAGGGCGTGGGTGCGGCGCTCGTCGAGCCATGCGCCAACCCTGCGCGGCTTGCCACGCCAGACGTGCGAATCAGGACCGCAGGCTTGCGCCGACTCCCCTCGGCTGGGAGGGAGGGAGGCAGGGAGGAAGGCAGGGAGGAAGGCAGGGAGGGAGGGAGGGAGGGAGGGAGGGAGGGAGGCAGGGAGGAGGAGGAGGAGGAGGAGGAGGAGGGAGGGTGGGAGGAAGGAGAAAGTGAGGGACGGAAGGGCGGGAGGAGGGATTTTTGCATCCCTCGCGGCGGCGGCAGCTTCTTACGCAGAGGCCGAGCGCCGCGGAGGCCCTTCGGGGCAGCCAGTTAAGGCGAGCACTCCGCCAGGCAGCGGGCGGCCTGCTGTCTGAAATCCTCCGGCCGTCCCGCCGGGCACAAGAAATGCGATTGTCGGTTCGGCCAGTTCTGCCCGTTCGGAAGTACCCCAGACCCTTTCGCGTTGTGAAAACATCACGACGAGAGTTTGTTTCATTGTTGTCGGCCTACGGGAGCCCTTACCAGAAAGTGTCAGATCACAACCGGTCGGGTGAGATCCCAACGGGACGGGTCAGATCACAACCGCCAAGCACAGTTGGGACGGGTGAGATCCCAACCGCTCCAGGGGAGTCCTTCGGGCATCTGAGAGCCTCTGAGGGATTCTGAGAGATTCTGAGAGAGCTGACCGGACAAGAACGGGAAGCGTCCTTTTGTGTCCTGGGCTTCTGAGATATCCTACGTCATTAGAGTGCGCTGCGTAAGTCTATCGTGCGTGCGTGTGCGTGCGCGTGCTTGAAATATGTGCATGTGTGTTCGTGCGTGGTGGTCTGCGGCACTGCTGTGTGATGCCGTGCTGCCCTGCCGTGCTCCTGCGGTCTGCGTGAACGTGCTGCCCTGCCATGCTTTGCTGCCCTGCCGTGCTGCCTCTCTGTGTGCGCGTGTGTGTGCGTGTGTGTATGTGTCTGTCTGTGCGTGTGCGTGTGCCTATGTGCGTGTGCCTATGTGCGTGTGCCTATGTGCGTGTGCCTGTGGGTGCGGCTGTGTGAATAGATATTATGTGTGTTCTGCTGTGCTCCCACGTTCTGCCGTGCTCCTGTGTGTGTTCTGCCGTGCTCCTGTGTATTCTGCCATGGTCCTGGTCTGCCGTGTTCCTGTGTGTTCTGCCGTGCTCCTGTGTGTTCTGCCGTGCTCCTGTGTGTTCTGCCGTGCTGCTGGTTGTTCTGCCGTGCTCCTATGTGTTTTGTATGATATGCCGCGCTCCTGTGTGTTATGCCTTGCTCCTGTGTGTTCTGCCGGGCTCCTATGTACTCTGTGTGTTCGGCCGTGCTCATCGTGATCCTGCGTGTTCTGCCGTGCTCATGTGTGTTCTGCCGTGTTCCTGCGTGTTCTGCCGTCAGTTCTGCCGTGCACATATGTGTTCTGCCGTGCTCCTACGTGTTTTGCCGTGCTCCTGTGTGTTCTGGCGCGCTCCTGTTTGTTCTGCCGTGCTCCTATGTGTTTTGTGTGTTCTACCTTGCTCCTGTGTGTTCTGCCGTGCGCTCCTATGTGTTCTGACGCGCTCCTGCGTGTTCTGCCGTGCTCCTATGTTTTGTGTGCTCTGCCGTGCTCCTACTTGTTCTTCCGTGCTCTGCCGTGCTCCCCTTGCTCCTGTGTTCTGCCGTGTTCCTGTGTGTTGCCGTGCTCCTGTGTGTTCTGCCGTGCTCCTGCGTGTTCTGCCGTGCTACCGAGTGTCATCTGTGTGTGTGTTCTGCGCTGCGCTCCTGCGTCTTCTGTCGCGCCCCTGTGTGCTCTGCCGTGCTCGTGTGTGTTCTGTGTATTCTGCCGTGCTCATGTGTTCTGCCGTGCCCTTGTGTGTTCTGCAATGTTCCCGCGCGTTCTGCCGTGCTCCTGTGTGGCGGGCTGCCGTGATCCTGCCCATGTTCTGGAGATGCCTCAGGCGAAAGGCTTAATTTGAATGTGCATGGTCTTGAGTAAACGTTTTCGACATCTAGTTGTTTCATTGCTGTCTCTGGTGATAGCCCTATGTTCACAGGTTGGTTAAATTCGCTACTTTCAGTTTCTGGCGGGTGTCCCAAGCGAAACGCTTGTTTTTGTAAAAGGGGGTGGTGCGAACAACTCATTTTTCTGAGGATGCCTCCAGCGAAATGCGCAGTTGGAGGATTCGCGAGGGCGTTCCTGGAGTCATATGTGGGCTCGGTTGGGGCTCGTTTGGGGCCGTCTCGATCCCTTAAACAATGATGCCAGTGCGATGTCACACACATCACTTGTTTGAGGATGTCCCTAGCGACATCGTCATTTTTAGAAGGCTGCCTTGGGCAGTCTGGAAGTTTTTTTTCACACGCTCGTGATTGCGGAAGCTGGTGTGGTGAGACCACCATGGCCATGCTCAGCGTTTTTGATGTTGTTGCTAATCAACGTGGTATGATAGCAATCTCGATCCCCGCAACTTTTCCGTGGGGTATAAGGTTCGGTTTCCGCGCCTTCCCCACAGATAGACCCTTGTGGTCGGGGATACAAATAGAGGGGGTGAAGGGGGGGTACTTCATTATCGCCCGCGGTCGTACACGCGCGAAACCGAAAAACGTACAGGGAATGGACGTCAGAGCGATAGCGAGTTCAGAACGTCTCGATGGTGGTTGGGAGTGCTCGGCGCATGATGTGCCACGCAAGTCCTTGCGCGCCTTGCCGAGCAGAGCGAAAGTCGGCATCGTGAGAGCGTGTGGCATCAAGGGCGGTGCTCTGCTGGTCGGCCCTCGCGTGGGCGTCGGCCTCAGACTCACCACGGCACGAGCACAAGTTCGTGGCCTCAGAGAAAGCCGCCTCGTCGCCACATCCCGCGCGAGCGCCTTGCCCGCTAGGCTGCGCCTCGAGCTGCGACGGGGCGTCCGTAACCCTGCAGCCTCTGACACACCGTATTGCCACGGCGTTGCGCCGGGGACGAGGACGATGGATGAGGAGGAGGAGGAGGAGGAGGAGGATCAGGAGGAGGAGAAAGAGGAGGAGAAGGAGGAGTAGCAGGAAGGACCTGCGGAGGAGCAGGAGCAGGAGGAAGAGCGGAGAGGAATCGGTTAGAGTGGTAGGTTGGAAGATGGAGGGGCAAGAGGAGGAGGAGGAGGAGGAGGGCAGAGTGTCACGAGGGGTAGGAGGAGGCGGAGGAAGAGGAGGAGGAGGAGGGGGCAAAGCAGGAAGAGGAGGAGGGTAGGAGGGGGACGGGTGGGGCGACGATTGGAACGAGAAGGATGAACATGAGAAGGCAGAAGCAGGCTTCGCGTTGAACGTCCTCTGGCGTTTCGGGGAGCCAGAGAATTTGGACTAAGGTAAGGTGGAAGGGAGCGGGCAGAGGGCATGGAAAGTTCTTCGATTCCTTGTGCGTCCCCCTCCCCATTCCCCTTGTCCCCCCTCCTCCCGCTCCACCCATCTACTGCTTCCCTCTGCTGCTTTTGCGGTTCCCCTTCCTCCCCTCTTCTGTTTTTGTTTGTTCCAGTTCTCCATCGTTTCGTCCTCATCATTATCCTCCCCGCTCTCTCAGTCTCCCTGTTCTCTTCTCCAGTCCCTTCTTTTTCCTTTCTCCTCCCCTCCCGCTCACCTGCCCTCCCCCCCTTCCCGCCCAGTTATCTGGCCCTCCCCCTTTCCTTCTCCCTTGCCTCCGCCCCCCTGCCACGGAGGTGTTGCTGGTCTAGCGCGGCACGCCCCATTGTGACGGGCAGGAAACGCAGACCGCGTCTCACCCCTCCCGTCTGGAGAATCGGGCACGGCTGTTCAACTTGCATTTCGCCTCCTTCTCATCGTCCTTTTCTCTCGTTCTGCTCCTCCGCCTCCTCCTTCTCCTCCTCCTCCTCATTATCCTCCTCCTCCTCCTCCTCCTCCTCCTCCTCCTCCTCCTCCTCCTCCTCTTCCTCCTCCTCGGGGGGAGGGAGGGAAGGAGGAGAAGCGACACCAACACCACCAGCTGGCCACCTCCAGCGAGGAGGTCCACGATGCCTCCCCGAGCAGGATGCTGGGGATACCTCGAGCGAGAGGGGGGGCCACACCACCAGGGAGACACCCCGTGCCTCCTCGCATGTCCTCGCCCTGGTGGTGTTGGTGTCGCTTGTCTTTGTTCCATTCCCCCTCCTCCTCCTCCTCCTCCTCCTCCTCCTCCTCCTCCGCCTCCGCCTCCGCCTCCGCCTCCGCCTCCTCCTTCTCTTCCTTCGGTCTCCACATCCCCTCGCTCCCCATCTTTCCCTCTGGGACGCACGGGCTGTCGCGCTGGACCTCTGTGGCCATTTTGTCTTTAAAGTACCATTGTCTTGCCAGCATCGCTGTAGCAATGTTGGCCAGACTTTCGACTACATAACGGCCATTGGCCAGGCTTGCTGTCCTCCCGATTCCATAAGTTCTCCTCGTCACTGCCCTTTCCCTTCGCCCGCGTCCCCTCCATGCATAATACATTCAAGTCGTGCCATATTCCAGAGCGCGTTGACAAAAGCCCGGCAAAACGCGTAGCATCAGATTGGAAGAACATGTTCGAATCATTTCATGTTAGTGCATTACTGGAAGGATTTCGGAAGCTTGGAGTGCCTCGCCGTCGCTTCGCAATGCAAGTGGAAACGTTCACGGTGCAGGTGGTTGTGCGTGGCAGACGGGCGACACACTTCATCAGACAGACGCCAGGTATCGCGCTTGATGTTTTACCCCAGCATCGATGAGGCGACAGACATGTCACGTCTCAGGGAGAAGGTGCCGCCCAACCACACACACACACACACACAAACACACACACACACACACACAAACACACACACAAACACACACACACACACACACACACACAAACACACACACACACACATATTCCTCTTTCTATATTTTTGCAAGCCCGGGCGGGGGGAAAACCCGTCACCCCCCCCAAAACCGGACACCTTGGATTTGGGGCTTAGGGACCCTCTGGACGGGCCTCGAAGCGGCCGCCCGGGCCTCGCAGGACGTGGCGCGCTCCCGAAGCGACCCCAGAGAGCCCCAATACGGTCGACCACGACCCCCAAGAAGCCGTCATACCCCCAAAGATCGTCCCGAATCGTCCCAAGAGGCCTCCAAGAGCACTCCCAAGAAGGCCCCAAGAGGCGAAAATCATTGATTTTGTTGGTTTTTAGTTTTTTTTTCGGGTTCTCCTCTTTTCGGCTTCCCGACGCTCCAAGACGGCGGTCCTCTGGGCGTCCGAAGCCGCCTGGAAGGCTCCAAAATCGCCCCACAACCATCCGAAAGGGCTTCCAGGCAGTCCAAGAGAGCCCAAAAACTGCACAACAGGGGTCCAAGATGGCCCTCAGAGAGCCCCATGGCGGCCCAAGATTGCCCCAAGACGCCCTCCGAAGCAATCCAAATCGTGACCCGGGCGTTCAGGGAGACCGCGGTTGCAGGCAGGGTGGCCCGAGGAAGCCCCCAGAGGCCCCCAGAGCACGCCCAGGAGGCCTCCAGAAGGCTTTAAGAAAGCCTGAAACAACTTTTGTGAGGCCCCCAGGGACTCTCCAAGGAGGAACCTCTGCAAAATGAGCTGAGGAGGATGGGGAGAATGCGCAGGTCTTGTCGAGAATGAGGAAAAAGAAACACTGAGGAAGGATAGCGAAAAACATTATTATAGTGGCGATGCCAGAAAACTAGATTGTCGGCTCGACCTTCCTGTCAATCCGCCTGCATACAAACTTCAAGGACGAAGGTACGGCGCGAAGCGCCACTGCAGTCTTGTATATATATATATATATATATATATATATATATATATATATATATCGGAGTAGGGCCCGGGGGCGGCCCGGGGCGGTGCCTGTAATCTCCATGGGGGTGCAGGGCGCCCCCGGGAGCGTCCGAAGCGTCCCGGAGGGCCCCTGGGACCGCCAGGAACAGTTCGAGACCGCCCAAGACGGCCCGCGAGCGCTCCAAGACGCGCATAGATAGCCTCAGGAATGGCCAGGAAGGCCCGAAGACGTTCCAAGAGAGCTCCATGAGGCCCCGAAGGCATCCCAAGAGGCCTCCCAAGAGAGCCCCGACAAGCCAAAATCGTTGATTTGTATAGTTTTTTTCTAGGTTTTTGGCTTTCTCGCTTTTTCGGGGTTCCGACGCTCCAAGACCGTCCAAAAGTCTCCCAAAACCGCTCCAAGACGGCCGAAGAAGCCCCCAAGACCGCCCCAAGACGGCCCAAGAGACCCCCCAAATCGTCCCAAGACGGCCCAGGAGAGCCCCAAGATGGCCCAGGAGCCGCCCAAGACGGTTCCAGGAGAGCCCCGACAGGGCTTCAAGACTGCCTAAGCGAGCCCAGCGGTCCCCAAGAGGGCCCCGCGAGGCCCCAAGAGGCCCCAAAGAGGCCCCCAAGAGCCTCCCCGGAGGCCCCCAGAGGCCCCCAAGAGGCCCAAAAATTGCCCTGAGCGCGCCCCAAGACGCCTCCAGGAGAGCCCAACAGGCCTCCGAGAGGCCCCCAAGAGGCCCACTGGAGGCCCTCAGGAGGTCGTCCCCATCATGTTCCCGGAAGGCGGTCCGGGAACATGATTCCGCGCCTTGGAGGAGTATTCTGCGCTTTCCGAGGCGCCTTCCGAGGCGCCTTGGACGACGTACGTATGTTTCTATCGATTGTCCTTCTCCTGTGTACACAATCCTACATGTCTTGCGTATGTTTTCTATAATATATTATATATATATATATATTATATATATATATATATGTACACATATATATATATATATATGCTCACAGCGCCCTCTGTGATCTACCTTTCTCGTCTTGATTGGCTTTATTCCCTCTTCTTCTTTTTACCGTCTTCTTATTCGCTCCTTCCTCCATTCCTTCACTCTCGAGGTCGGGGAATTGTGGCGGACCTCGCCGTTTTCATATGGTTTTTATAGAGTGGAAGCGCTCCTCCATCTCTCTGCGTTGTCATATCATCTTATTATTATCTTAGTTCGTTCGTCCTCTTGTTATCTACCCCTCGTTCTTCATCTCTCTTTCTCTCTCTTTCTCCATCCTTCCCGCTTCGCCAGCCTTCTAGCATTCATCCCCCCCCCCCCCGAGCATCGGCATCGGAAGCTGGCGGGAGCTTGCAATTAGCATAGGGGAGCGGTGGAGGAGGAGGAGGAGGAAGGAGGAGAAGGAAAACACATCCACGTGTGTAAAAAAATGCCCCCCCGAGCATGGTTCTCGAAATTTTAGCCCTGTGCCCAACGGCATGGGGCTGGAATTTCGAGGACCATGCTCGGGGGGCATTTTTTTGGATCTTCCGATTCTCTTAAGGTTTCTTCGCCAAGCATTCCGCCGCAGCTGGCGGCAGCTGGCGGAAGCATTCTGATGCTTGCGGAAGCTGGCGGGAGCTTGCTATAAGCATAGTAGAGCGGGGGAGGAGGAGGAGGAGGGAGGAGGAGGAGGAAAACACATCCACATGTGTAAAATATGCCCCCCCGAGCATGGTTCTCGAAACTCTAGCCCTGTGCCCAACGGCATGGGGCTGGAATTTCGAGGACCATGCTCGGGGTGGCATTTTTTTTTGGATCTTCCGACTCTCTGAAGGTATCTTCGCCAAGCACTCCGCCGCAGCTGGCGAAAGTTGGCGGAAGCATTCTGATGCTTGCGGAAGCTGGCGGAAACTTGCAATTTGCATAAGGGAGCGCGGGAGGAGGGAGGAGGAGGAGGAGGAAGAGGGGGGGGGGAGGAGGAGGAGGAGTGAGGAGGAGGGAGGAGGAAGATAAAGATGAAGTGGAGTGGGATGCGTGGGAGTGCAACTTCGGCTGACAATTCTGTTGCTTGCGGAAGCTGGCGGAAGCTTGGCATTAGCATAGGGGAGCGGGGGAGGAGGAGGAGGAGGAAGGAGGAGGGTGAGCAGAGAGGAGGGAGATAAAGATGAAGTGGAGTGGAATGCGGCAGAAGATTATCTTCAGATTGTAGTTGCAGCAAGCTGGCGGAAGCGTGGAATTAGCATATGGGGAGCGGGGGAGGAGGAGGAGGAGGAGGAGGAGGAAGGATGAGGGTGAGCAGGAAGGAGGGAGATAAAGCTGAAGTGGACTGGAATGCGGCGGAAGATTATCTTCAGATTGTAGTTGCAGGAAGCTGGCGGAAGCTTGGAATTAGCATATGGGGAGCGGGGGAGGAGGGGGGGGAGGAGGAAGGAGGAGGGTGAGCAGGGAGGAGGGAGACAAAGATGAAGTGGAGTGGAATGCGGCGGAAGATTATCTTCAGATTGTAGTTGCAGCCGGGCATATCGTATTCCGTCGACCTTGGTCCAAGCCTTATGTTGCATGTCTGCACTACATAACACAACAGCCGATTGAATTGTTCGCCTTGGCATGGCCCCAGAGGGACGGCCACGCCGCGAAAGGACATTGGAGGAGGTTCTTGAAGCGCGGAGGGCCAAGCTCAAGAGGCGACGTGAGCTGTACGCCGACAAAAAAATCAGAGAGGCCGCCGCTCGGATGGAAGTGCTCGACGGGCGGGCTGTGGCGGAGGCCAGGGAACAACACCGTAATCGACGAGTGCAACACGTTTCCACCCAGCGTCCTGAGCCGTCTCTTAGGCAGCAGCTTCAAAACATACAGTGGTCAGTAGACGCGTCAGCAACCACCCGCACTGTTGCTGCACCAGTGGCCCGCACGTCGTACAGCAGCCGCGGAAATTCGTCGCACGGCGTCAGAGAATTAGTATTTAGTTCCAAGGGCGCCCATAACTCCGCCGAGGTGGAAGCTATCTGGGAGGAGGCCTCCCCAGAGCACCACCCACCGAGCCGTCGCCAGAGCTTTCTGTCTCCCCGTGAGGACCTTTCACTTGAAAAAGTAACAACGAACTCTCATTGATGCTGCTTGTTGTGCCAGCGTGGTATTGTCTTGTCCTCATTCTGGTGTGGTCTTTGGTCTTGTCTTTGGCCCCCCCCCCCCTCTTCCCTCTCCGCTCGCACCGAGAGCGTAAAGCAAAGAAAAACGCGCCCGCACCCTCCTCCCTCACCAACGCAATGATTTACATCATCGCGTTCTTTTCCCGCTCATTGTTTGCGATGCCCCCCGTGCACCAATTAAAAAATTAAGTTTTTAATTGCCCCCCTCCCCAGCACCACAACAGGAACCACAGCTGGCACCACAACAATAACCACAACAAGAACCACAGCAAGAACTTCAACAGGAACCACAACGGAAGCCACGCGAAGAACCACAACGGAACCACACCAGAACCACAACGGGACCCATAACAGGAACCACATCAGACCCACAGCAAGAAGTACATCAGGAGCCACAACAAGACCCGCCCATTATTTGTGTTGGCACCCGCGCCACATTTTTTTTGTGAAAAAAATTGGATTGGCGTCGTCCCATCCAGAACCAACCACAACGGAAACCACAACAAAGAACCACAACAAGAACCACAGCAGGAACCACAACAGGAACCACAACAGGGGCCACAACAGTAATCGCAACAGGAGTCACAGTAGGAAACGCACCAGAGACCACAACAGGAACCACAACAGGAGCTACAACGAAACCCACAACAGGACCAGGTTATCATTCGCTTTGCAGGCTCAAGTCAGTCAACGCTGAGGTTTGCAATTTCGCATTTCGCAT